CTCAAGAAGGACATCCCGTTGCTTACTTTAGTGAGAAGCTGAATGACACTAGGCAACGTTATTCCACCTATGATAAAGAGTTCTATGCGGTGATACAATCTCTTCGACACTGGCGTCACTATCTGCTACCACAAGAATTCGTCATATATTCTGATCATGAAGCCCTTCGATATATTCACTCCCAAAAGAAGTTGAACGCCAGACATGATCGTTGGGTTGAGTTCCTCCAGGATTATACATACACGATCAAACATAAAGCGGGAGTAGAAAATAAGGCCGCCGACGCACTCAGCTGCCGCATGCACCTCCTCTCCACTTTGAGTGCGGAAGTAATCGGCTTTGAGAAAGTCAAAGACCAATACGAATCGTGCCCTGATTTTAGCGAAGTTTATACTTTGCTGAATGATGGAGTGACCCGTAAAATTAATGGCTTCCTCCTGAAGGATGGATATCTTTTTCATTTTCGCAAGTTGTGTATTCCCGACACCTCCCTGAGAGAATTCTTAATTTGAGAATTACACGCTGAAGGCCTTGCAGGACATTTTGGGAATAATAAGACTGTCGAGGCAGTTGAAGGCCGCTTCTACTGGCCAAGCATTAAAGGCGACGTTGTTAGACTAGTGGGTCGATGTCATATTTGCCAGCTAGCGAAACAACGTAAGCAGAACACTGGCTTGTACACTCCTCTCTCTGTGCCAAGTTGTCCATGGCAGGATGTTAGTATGGATTTCGTGTTAGGACTCCCGAAAACGATTAGAAAACACGATTCTGTCCTTGTTATTGTGGACCGTTTCTCCAAAATGGCCCACTTCATACCGTGCTTTAAAACTTCCAACGCTTCTCATGTGGCCAAGCTATACTTCAACGAAGTTGTTAAACTGCACGGACTTCCGAAAACAATTGTGTCTGATAGGGATGTTAAATTTACAAGTTATTTTTGGAAAACCCTTTGGCACAAAATGGGAACTAAACTTCAATTATTTACGGCTTTTCATCCCCAGACCGACGGTCAAACTGAGGTAGTCAATCAGAGCTTAGGTAACCTATTGAGATCGCTAGTTGGTGAGAATCTTAGGAATTGGGATCAACATCTGCCTACTGCTGAATTTGCTTATAATAACTCTGTTAATAGGTCTACAGGTGTCAGTCCAACTGAAGTCGTGTATGGTTACAAACTTAGATAGCCTATAGATCTTGTTCTCGTGTCTGCATATCATAGAGTATCCAAGTCAGCATCTGCATTTGCATCTCGCTTTATGACTTGCATAAAGACATCAGTAAGAAGATCAATGACAACAATGCTAGCTATAAAATGCGAGCAGATCTAAGGAGGAGGTTTGAAGAATTTAATGTTGGTGATTATGTGATGGTTCGGATACGTCCGGAACGGTTTCCTCCGGGAACTGTTAAAAAGTTGCATGCGCGAAGTGCGGGACCTTTTAAAATTCTCAAGAAAATTAATGATAATGCTTATGTTCTCGACCTTCCCGAAGGTTTTAATATTGGTTCGACTTTTAATATTGAGGATTTAGTAGAGTACAAAGATCCACATTTTAACCCTGACAACCCACTGGTTGATGAGCCTACCCCTGAGCCTATTTCTGAGAGCACCCCTTTACCTCCACTCCCCCAGATATCACCCACATATACAGCACATGACATTGATACTATTATTGATGATAACATTGTTTCTACTAGCAATGGTGGTATCCGTAGGTACTTGGTACGTTGGAAAGATCGACCTGAGTCTGATGATACTTGGCTCGATCGAGGTGATTTACAGAGGCTGAATCCGGATCTTCTTGAACAGTATGACAACCGTTCTGACTTACACTCGACGGGGTCGAGTTCTCTCTCACCTGGGGAGAATGATGAGAACATCCAGATACGTGCACGAGACTTTCACCGTGTTTATCAGCGCAGGGGACGCCGTGTTGTAGGGTCTGATTTTGCTTATGTATACCAAGTGTAGGATCGTGACCCTTAAGAATAGAGTGCACTCTTATAAAAATCTGCGGAAGTTTTACACTTAAACACTAGAGTGTGAGTTTGCAAAGTAGATTATAACTTGCAAAGAAAGAATAACAATCTCAGAAAATAAACATCACAAACACAAGCATGTATACTGGTTCCATCTCCCCGGTGTACATCCAGTCCCCAAGCAAATCCCGCTTGAGAGTTTCCACTATGATTTTGAAACCTTACAAAATCAAAAGCAAACCTGACCAATTTACAAAACCGTGTAAATTGCAACACCAATTGACAAGACCATGCTAATTGCCACCTAATCTCTAAACCAAGAGATCAACCCTCTCAAACCCGAGAGAAATCCTTTTTGAAGAAAGAACACAATTGATCCTATAAGCATTGAATGTATAGTGAAGTGCTGCAGTGGCTTAGGATTCTTTTTACTATCTGAATATTACCTATACAATCTCTAAGAATGATTGAAACCAAGGTAATATCAGAAACTCTCTTTTTCTAAACACTTAGCATGAAAATCTGGAAAATTAGAGAGTGAATATGCACAAAATGTTTGATCTTGCAAGTGCAAAACTTGGTGCTTGTTTTCTGATGTTTAAACCTATTTATAGCCTCTGAAATGACATAATTTTAAACCCAATTAACGTCCACAAAACGTCTATAAACAGTCACTTATTCAAAACCTGAAATCTGAAAAAACTGCATCTGTAGTCGACTACACTGAGTCTAAACAGACTCTGTGAAGTCAGAAAATTACTTAGTAGTCGACTACAAGGCATAGTAGTCGACTACACTGTAAACTCAGATTCTGGAATTTTTTTTTCCAGTATTTTGACTGTAACTTTCTCATCCGATATCGGAATGAGGTGATTTAAGATTTGTTGGAAAGCTCTTGAAGAGACCTACAACTTTGATCTTTTGAGTTTTTCCAGATTCTAATTGTTAAGGGGTATAAATGAAATGTTTTAAGACTCACTCAATATCTATAAACTCTAATGGCTAACATATGAGATTTCTATTGTTAACCAACACACTAAGCATGTGTTAGTGTGTTCTAACACTATGTGTGTACATGTGTGTGAGTGATCAAGGCTTGTACAAATTTCTAAGCAAAGAAAATATAAAATTACATTTTGACAATAAAGTATATCTTTTTCTTTGCTTTATTTTGCCTTGAACTCATCTATGTCTTAAGTATCTCTTTGAATATAATTATTGATATAGCTTTGATACTGCAAAACAAATGTTAGCACATAATACACACAACATATAATAATTGTTATCATCAAAACAAACTAATCTTGGGGTCAAGATTCCTAACACATGTTTCAGCTTTGTACCGGATTCCTAATATCTGGTTTTGATTTGATTGATGACAGATTCGGTAGCTAGAGTGGATTGAGCAGATTTCCTATTTTGTTAGATTTAAATTTTAAATTTTGAATTTTGAATTTTGAATTTTGATTTTATTTGGTAGCTAATTAGTTAATTGATTGTATTTGATTATGAGAGAGATTTGAGGGATTTGGTGAATTTTCCAATTTTTTTTATTTAAGAACTCTTGTAATCAGATGAGAATCATTGATGAATAAAAAAATTATTTGGTTGAACTCTGTAGTGTGAAGCTTGGGTTCGGGTGTGAAACCTAATCCCTGACAAAACAAATTATATTTTTCTCTGTTCATTTCATTCCCCAGCCGCAGTTATTCTCTCTCCTCACATTAAAAAAGAGAACTTCAACTACTGTTCATCCCTCTCATTCATCTCACGTCACAAAACCCATCAAATACATCCCTGCTCCTCTTCAAACCCGCTGGCCTTCAAACCCCGCACCGCCCCAACCTCCGTCTCCGCCTCCCGTGTGCCGCCTCCTGCGATTCTCAACCCAATCACCAAGCCGCACCACCCTCTGCTTCGACCCAACACCGCCCCAACTCCCCGCTCCGCTTGCCGCCTTCCGTGAGCCCCGCCCCTGCTGCTCGCTCCACCACGAACACCCGTCGCCGGCTTCATCCCGACATCGCCGCTTGCCTCATCCGACACCCGCAGCGCCTCCTCTTCCTCACAAGTCGTCGTCCGACTCCGGTCAACAGTGGGTTGTATTCCACCCTCAAGCATCCAGCTGACGACATCTGCACCCCCCTTCACCATCTCGAGCAGCCCCTTCGACCTTCTCTTGCCACGGCCCTGTCATCGTCAGACCTCTTTATCCCCGTCGTTGTCCTGAATTTGAGTCTGTGATCCGTTGGTGCATGGCCGATCCCGACGCTGAAGACTACGAGCTCGTGCTTGATCCAGAGACTGGCATAGTTGATTTACAGCTTTTCCCGTGGTTCGACTATCAGACGTTCGAGACTGTGCCCGAATACCTCGAACGTGTGACTCATCAGATTGTCAGTAGTGTGGAAGCTCAGTTAGGCATCAGTTCGTTTCATAGGCGTTTCAATCCAGACGCGCCACTTCATCCCAATTACGTGGCTCTCGGAGGAGAACTTCCTCCCCTCATCTTCGGCGTGTACGAACCACCTCCAGAGGAGCCTCCCGTCGAACCACTTCAATCTGGTGAAGGTTTTGCTTTCTATCGACCTAATATCTTCGGAACCGCTATTGCAAGCATATTATTATCAATCTTAGTATCAATTGCGATTATGCTGTATTCAGTTTGACTAGTGAGCGAGTGTATCTGTTGCTAAATATTTTGCTTATCTAAATATTACAAATTGAACTGTATTAAGAGAACGAATCATTACATTATTTATCGGAATAATTTTACAAAGGTTCAAACTTAATACATTGCAACTTTTGCTTAAAAACCATTGTTCGCTTCATTTTACTCTTGAATTTCCTGCTTAGATCGATCGCTGACTTAGTGAAGCACTGTTGTCACGAATCTTCATACCTGCATAATATTGTTTCACATCATATTAATAATTTATTTTCTTTAACATGTTTTTTTTTGCCTTGGAAAAAGCATAATTTAAGTTAGATTAATCTTCTGTTGCGTTCATTTTAAGCAGGAGAAGACAAGTATGTGGTCTTTGTTTCAGGCTTGAATGTCGGGAGCGACACCTTCAATCCTCTACAGTTCCAGCTTCTTGTGGATCATGTAACTGGGCATTTGGGGGATGAAAACGTATGCATATTTTCTTTGCAATAAAAAAAAGCAGAACTATATTTTGTCATCGATCAGTGACAATTTCAGGTAATACATTGTGCAGGAACAAGAGATTGCATCTCAAATAGTTCGCCTTGTAATTGCTGGAAATTCTGTAGAAATTTCACAATGCTTACTTACTGGCCAGGTAGCATATTTAGAAATAAGAACTTCAAATTATGCACATTTAAATTATTTTTTTAGAAGATGAACTTTGTAAACCTTATGGATCAATTAGTTACTTGAGGTCTTGATTGTGTATTATATATTGAAAATTTTAATGCTGGACTATTGTTTCTTCATGGATCCTGCAGAATATAGCTTCAAAGGACCATGCCAAACTCTCAGAACCAATCAAAGAACTAGATATCCTATTAACTCAGGTTTGATAGTTTTCTGTACTTAGATTTCCATCTTGGGGACATATGTTTTCCTACCGCTTGATTCCATCTGTGAATATCCACCAAATCTTATATGAGATCTAAATAGGCTTTTTTGCTTATGATTCTTTTTCTTTCTTATGTTGTGCAGCTTGCTGCTGCTATGCCTGTGGACATCATGCCAGGATCTAATGACCCAGCAAATTTCTCCTTACCTCAACAGGTCCTTTCTCTTTTCTAATAGTACTATCAAGAGTAATTTGTGCATGTTATACACTATGTCGTAGACTCCTAGTTGCTCATGACGATGCTAATAAACCAGTTTGGGTTTGACAGACCCAGGCAGCTGACCTTCACCAGAATGCAGTGAAGCCTGGTTCTGAGACAGTCATATGTTCCATGTATAGAACATATAGGAAAGTTGATTGGATCTTTTTCTTGTTAAGGTTTAATGGTGCTACTAAAAGTTCTTTATACTTCCTTCCCTTCCCTACCCGCTTCCCAAAGGCACATTTTCTTTGATACCAATGGTGGTGGTTTCCAGGAAGAGTAAGGTCTATATAGTTGCACGCACTCTGATTTTTCTTCAAGTTCCATTCAGATTCATCCTGCCGGATGTTCCATTGTGGACTCATCATTTGGTGAATAGCAAATCAGTCCCTCTCTATGGTCCATAGGACATCTTAAACATGTGCTTAACAAGTTATTTAGAAGCTTGCATTTGATATATGCACAATTGCATGCAAATACCTACTGTTTATTAACTTGGATTTGTCTTTCCCTTTCCAGCCTTTGCATAGGTGCCTTTTTCCAGGAGCATCTGTTTATAACACATTCTTGTCCTGTACAAATCCTCATGAATTTGAGCTTGATGGCGCTCGGTATGCTTTGGATATATCTTCCTAATTTCTTCCTTAAAATGTTCCATCTTTCATTTAAATGTATTTCTTTAGGTTCCTTGGCACGTCTGGTCAGAACATAGAAGATCTAGACAAATATTCTGATGCAAAAAGTAAGCTTGAATTTATGGAGAGGACGTTAAGATGGAGGCACCTAGCACCAACTGCTCCAAACACCCTTGGTAATGCTCAACCACAACTGACATTTATGTGCTTGCTGTATCTTGGAGATTGATTTTCCTTCATGTCGGTCTTCCTTTCTTTTCCTAGGGTGCTATCCATATACTGACAAGGACCCTTTCCTCCTTGAGAGCTGTCCACATGTTTACTTCGTTGGCAATCAGCATAAATATGAGACCTCTGTATTACAAGGTATTTTAATTATTTAGATAGTTATTGGTTTACTGTATTGTCAAGTAATGACATAGACTTTTCCTTGATGTAGGACCTGATAAGCAATTGGTGAGGCTTATCTCTATTCCAAGATTTTGTGAGACTGGAGTTGCTATCATGGTAGGTGATTCTGTAGATGCTGATATTACAAAGCAGTTTGAAGTTCCAATCTATTATTTGATGGGAAAGAGGGAAACAACACAAGTGACACAAGGATTTTCTAAGTAACGTTAAAAGCTCCAAGGGCATAATAACTGTATCAAACCCTTAAACCACAGAATATATAAATCTGAATCTTGATAATAGAACTGCCTCCTGACTATTAATATCATTTAAGGATGATGAGCAATCCACTTTGCGGTTATTCTTGCTGAAAAATCACCAGCTTCCAAATTTCTGCTAATATCATTTATTCGATTATGTTTCTTATCATATCATAAGTTCATCCTGAGACCTGTCTTTTTTTTGGCAGCTAAATTTGAGGAGTTTTGAATGCCATGTTCTCAGCTTCTCAACAAACTTGGATAGCTAACAACAAAAGCTTTCACATCTGGCTGTGAACTAACTGGTACGCTATTGTCCATCTTTGTCATTTTCCTGTCAGTTATTTTTAGGATGTCAGGTTAGGCTGTTGAAGTGACAGGATAGCTCGACAAAGTTTGATGGAAATATATAACAACTTACATTACACTGCCACCAATAACAGTTAGTCCATCGAAGTCAACATCATTAAAAGCTTGATGCTGACAACAAGTGAATTCCGTTGCTTGCATCATGAACTTTTGTTGCCGGCTGCTTGTTATGTGTGATTAGACTAGCAACTGAGTTCTATAGCTTTGTTTCTCTAGTGAAGAGAATGAGGCAACATGCTTTTAACTCCAAGTCTCCAACTTTAACCCATCTTTTGCTGCTCCCTGTCCCTACAGCCATGCAAATTTATATGTGGCCATCATACTGATCCACACCATTTGTAGTGCCTAAAAACAAGTGCTGGAGTGAACAATCAAAAAGTTTAAAGATAAGTTTGTTTCCAAGCCCAGAAAAGTGCAATAAAATTAAACTTGAACAATCAAAAAGTTTAAAGATAAGTTTGTTTCCAAGCCTAGAAAAGTGCAATAAAATTAAACTATTTTCTCCAAGAATGTCCAAAACATGTCTGAAAACAACTAGAGAGAAAACAAATACTTGAAGGGCTAAATCAATCTCATATTCTCCACATGACTTAGGAACTATTTTTCCGGCAATCCTTTAGTCATCGGATTAGCAGCCATAAGCTCAGTATTAATGTATTGAATGGATGCAACACGTTGCTTCACATTCTCTCTAACACTAAGATACTTTATGTCAGTATGCGTATTTCGGCTTCCACTCTTATTATTTTTGGAGAGGAAAATAGCCGTTGCATGTTTTTTCAAATATTTTTTAAAAAGAGACCAGTGGTTTGGATTTCCATCGTACACAGTGCTATGTGCCTGGTACTACAAATAGTTTGTTAATTACATTGTTTACTTTGATTCTTATGATTTATATTTCAATAAGAAAAATTTTGATATTTTTATTGAAACATAGCTGCATTGATGTGCAGCCTGAATCTGTTTAAAGTTTCTTTTTTCAGTCCTCTTGTGGTGAAAGAACGCAGTTTTTCCGTTGGTATTAAGTGCTCCGCTCAACAACCCGCCCCCCCCCCCCAACCCCAAAACAAAAAAAATAAAAAAACACACAAAAATGGGTATTGATGATAAATGGAAAAAACTCATATATATCACCTTAATGAAGGGGAAGGAGACACCTGTGCGCTTGCACATAGAATAGACAGAAACTGTAGTATTTTATGTGGCCATACTTGTCAGCATAATCTTTCAATTCTCTGGATTTTTGGATGTCGCTGATATTCTGAATCATATTCTTGCATCTAGAATCATAGGAATACTCAACGAAGTTTGACTCGAGCTGTAAGCCCGTACATTGTAACTAATGATCATGGCCCATTACAGTGGGAGTTTGCAAGCTATTACATGCCATTCTGATATCTTATTCCTCTTCAATATTTTTGACAGTTGGTGGAACATGGGCATATGCACTTGCAATTTTTTTTCCAATTTATAATCATTCATCTTTCTGCTGCTGCAGGTTAGTGTATAACGTAGACTGACACAAGGATTGTGGCAGAGTTCACTTGTTGCTAGAACATGTCACAGAAAGGCGAACTGTGTGCCTCTGTCATCGATGAAGGAAAAACACCGAGGAACCCAGCACTTCAATTTAATGTCTCTGTTTGTTATAAAAATGTCACCTTGTAAAACCACTGTAATCATTTTGTACCTGTAATCTTAATTCCATGAATACTGACCAGGCATTTGATGCTGGACTACCCGAAGTACCCCCTTTGTGATTAGTGTATTAGAGATTTAAGAGCGTGATGTAACGTTTTAAATGTTCTCCTGAGCTTACCAACTCCAAATTTAACGGATGATTGTGTCAATTTATGTGGCGATGTTCCCTTGGATTCTGGTTCTGGGCTTTATATTTACCAATTTGGGGAAATGCAAAGTGCTTGATTTCATTTGTGATGTTTGTTCACTGCCATGAGAGGTTAAAAGCAAGTTATTTTCCTTTGGATGTTCGAATTGATATTCCTGTGGCGACTATGTTAAGGATGAAGATGAGGGCAAGTAGATCCACATTTTGAAGGCGTTAATGCGGCATAGTACCTTTGTAGCATGAGTCTTTTTGCTATACTCCTAATAGTCCCCGACCTCCCCCCCCCCCCCCCTGTTCCCTGTTTACACTTAAAAAATAAAAAACAATTTCACTCAGGATAAATCACATGGGTGATAACTACTATAGAAAAAAACTCTATAAAAACACCATACCACAGGGTTTCAAGATCTCCGTACTACTGGGGTCTTTGTGCAAGTAGTGATCTTGAATTTATGATGATTCCATTGTTTTTTTTTTCCTTTCGGTTTTTGCTAGGCTTAATCGTATTGTCTGGTTCGTTTGGTAAGGAAAGTGTAGATAAATCTAGTGATTGCTATTTATCAGTATGTTTATGATATGTTTTTCCCTAGTTTTCTTTTTTTTTCTTTTTCGCTGTTACGGGTAAAATTGATCACCACTTCAAGGTTACAGGAGTTTTAAAATTGATCACCACTTCAAGGTTACAGGAGTTTCTTAGTTTAAAACGAGCATTGAATGATGAATTCTTCCTGGCAAAGAGGCTAAGGGCTCGTTTGGTTGGGCAAATTTGAGATGGAAAGGGACTGTACAGCTGCCAAGAGGCAATTTTACTGTAAAGCTGTCAAAAGCTGACGTTTTTGGCAGCTCTACAGTCCATTTCACCCAACCAAACGGACACTAACTTGATGGGAAAGTAGGGAACTGTCATTTCAATTGACTTTAGTTGTGACCCAAATATTTGAGATCAGGATAAATTTTTTTTGAAATTTTTTTTTACGCATATTTTTCAAATGTTTGCTTTCAGTTTAGTTGCCTAAAATGCTAATTTGACGCGCCTTTTCAAAAGCATACGATTCATTCACGTTTCAACATTTGATTAATCCCTAACAACCGTGTGTTCCTAACTAATTCGAGCGAGAAATAAGACTTGAGGGACGAATTTCAAAATATTGAACGTGCAAGGGACTAATATCGAAAAAGAATAAATTTTCAAAACAGCCCTATTTTATTTTTTTTTAAATCGACTCATTTTTTTATTTACCAAAACCGACCTGTTTTTTACCATGATAGCCTAATCACCCTCCTAAATAGTCGGGGTCGGGTTGCCAACCCCGACTATTTAGGAGGGTGTTAAACCCCAATTAGAAGCCTTACACCCTATAATTATATGTCATAAATAGTCAGGGTTATCAACCTCGACTGTTTAGAATGATTATTATGCTGACGTGGTAAAAAATAGATCGGTTTTGATAAATAAAAAAATAGGTCGATTTAAAAAAAATGAAATGGGGCTGTTTTGATAAATTGTTCTATCGAAAAAGAACAATTTTTTAAAACAGTCCCTTTTAAATTTTTATTTTTCAAAATCGACCCTGTTTTTTTTATTTACCAAAACCGACCCGTTTTTTTGATTAGCAGCCTAATCACATTCCTAAATAGTCGGGGTTGTCAACCCCGACTATTTAGGACTTAAATTTGTATAGTTTAAGGCTTCTAATTAGGGTTTAACACCCTCCTAAATAGCCGGGGTTGGCAACCCCGACTATTTAGGAATGTGATTAGGCTGCTAATCAAAAAAACGGGTCGGTTTTGGTAAATAAAAAAAAACATGGTCGATTTTAAAAAATAAAAATTTGAAAGGGGCTGTTTTGAAAAATTGTTCATCAAAAAACCCCAACTATTATTTTGTGGCCATCACTCTCCCAAAATCCTCGCTCCTATCTCGTCACCCTCTCTCTCTCTCTCTCTGATTCAGCTCCCTCCTAACCCTGCAATGGCGGATAAGTCACCATGCATTAGGAAAGAGTGGTGCAATACAACAACACATTATTTCGAAGATGAGGGTACATTGACGATCAACACACAATCGCACATAATGATAGATCCTACAGCCCAACAGAAAAAAGAAGGAGACAACAACTCCAGCCAAGATGGTCGGCAAGTGGTGGACCATTGGCAGCGCTGGAGCGTGCTGCTACCAACTTTTCCTCGGTCAGTATTAGGATTTGGGGAGAGATTTGCACCTGAAGCAGATACTTTCAGCCCACGCTGCCACTTGGAACGCTCCTAGGTCATTCAAAGTCTGTAAAAGCACATCTAAGATCTCAACAACATTGAAAAATCAAATGCAGGAAATGAAAGGATGCAGATCTTGACAGTTAATTGGCACTGATATCAATACTTAACTAACAACATCTATCAGGCAAAAGATTGGAAATTGACTTCTGATTACCTTTATTTATTATTGCCTGCTGCTGCTGTGTTTGTTTCTCATCTGAAAAGTTGGTTAAGGATTTGCTTCCTATGTCTTTTGTGTGTGTGTGTGTGTGGTGTGTGTGTGAGTGTGGGTCAGAAGGGAAAGATACCTGCCTCAGCATGTAATTTTGAACATACTAATTTTTCTTAGATTTGGTAACGCAAAGCAGGTTTCCTATAAGTTTTTTTGGGGTAAGGGATATATACTCAAAGAAATATGAAGAATAGTCTCGAAATCTAAAGTAAAGGAGATCGGTACTAATCAGCAAAGACCTTAATAAGAAAAGGATAGCAAGAAAAAATAAGAACAGCAAAAAGTAAAGTGATTTGCATGAACACTCAACATGAAATGGACAGAAGTTTGACTGAGAGATAAAACATGCCCACTATACACTATCATAGAGTAGAGGTCTCTCAGATCCTAGCCTCTTAAAATACTAGAATGGGATGTGACAGACATCATGACATAGGATAACAAAAAGCCTTTAACCGAATTTTCGGGTCTCCTAAAGAATCATATTCTTCCATTTAGTTCCATAAAGGGCTGTCTCCGCCCTTAAATTAAGGGCATGTTTGACAATCCTAGGTAGATAACAACCCAAGGGATTAAAAATTATAATAATCATCATATCCTTCTTATTTGCACCCATCCAAGTTCAGTTGGACCCGCCTCTAGTCTTCATTGCTTCGGTAACTATAAACTTACAACTTCCGCTAACTGGCGCATTTAGTGACCTCCATTGCACGTTTTCGCGATTATCTCGAGGTTTTCCTCTATTCTATCTGCAATAAGAGCAACCTCTAACGCTCCTACAAATACAGCAGCCCCTTCATGTCTCGGTGCATACTCAAGTCCACCGTGACATCCTCATCCCGCTACAGACACGAGATCACATGGACATGGTTCATTGAAATGCGGGAAATTCAACTGTGCAGCGCGTACTATCTCATCTTTAAACATAGATTTGTAGGGCATCATTTTTTTTTTTACCAACATTCAATGAGTTGATAGATTTGGCTAGTGAGACCTACCTCCCATCTATTGATAACATCTCCGGCCCAAATCCAATCCTTCTCCGGAGATAACATCGTTAAGATTCTTTATACGAAATAGAATTATAATTTATAATAAAACAAATAACAAAGAGAGTCAGAAATTTGTAACTTATGAGAGGCACCTGAAACGTTGGCGAGTTTGGGCGTGGGATGGGAGGAGAGAGATGGCTTTGGGGGGCGGAGACGCGCGGAATCTAGAGGAAAGTGGCGGAACG